CGTCAAGAAGCTCGGTCTGTCTCGCTCCAACGGAAATGTAACGGTTTCCGGCCTGGGACAACAGGCAGCCGGAACAACGCGTGGCCTTGTGAAGCTGAGCTGGTAATGGCTAACCGGTTTACCGACGCGTGTGTTTTGCAGACAAGTGCCTACGTCCTGGGGAAGCTCAACTCGACGCTTCCTACACAGCACTGCAGGGTTCATCCAAGCCTCCTGGATAAGCAGATACAGGAGAACCTCGCTGATCCGGCATACTACCAACCGGGTCCGATCGATATCATTTTGGGATCTGACGTCTTTCTTGCTCTCCTCAAGCCAGGGCAAGTCAAAGACAACGGTGGTGTTCTTGTGGCACAGAACACGATCTTCGGGTGGATTCTGTCCGGGAATCAAGCCATCTACTCATCGAGTCTTCGAAGCAATGTCTCGATCGTCAATCTTCACACAGAGCTGGACCTCAACCGCACCTTGCGGATGTTTTGGGAGCAGGAGGAGGTTCCGAACCCACAGCAGCTTACTCTTTCTGAACAAGCAGCCACCGAGCTCTTTAGGTCTACTCTCACACGGGATGAAAATGGGCACTTCATCGTGCGACTGCTGTTCGATGATTCGAAGCCGGCGCTGGGTGAGTCCCTCACTTCGGCCATCAAGCGATTGCGATCGATGGAAAGACGTTTCCGGCAGGATGAGGAATTCCATACGCTGTACTCGGAGTTCCTCAGCGAATACCTGGCGGTGGGGCACATGGAAGAGGTGCCACCGGACGAACTGGAAGTAGAGACTAGCATGTGTTTCTACCTTCCACACCATGCCGTCGTCAAGGCCAAAAGCATGACGACTAAGTTGTGGGTGGTCTTCGACGCCTCGTGTGCGTCGTCGACTGGCGTTTCGCTCAACGACAGACTCCTGGCGGGACCCAACGTCAATCAGGATCTTTTCTCGGTGTTTCTACGTTTCCTAACCCACCCGGTGGCGTTTTCAGCGGACGTAGAGAAAATGTATCGCCAGGTGATGGTTCACCCGGCGGATCGCGACTACCTGAGGATCGTGTTTCGTGAATCGGAGGATCAACCAATCAAACATTATCGGTTGTGCACCGTGACTTACGGAATCAAGTGCGCTCCGTACTTAGCAATCGAAGTCATGAAGCAAGTAGCCCGCGAGTACAATCAAGTGTATCCCGAAGCCGCGCAGAGGATTGAGCTCGACACCTACGTCGACGATTTTCTGTCTGGCGCACAGAACGTTCAGCAAGCGAGGAAATTGAAGGAGCAAGTTGTGGAGATTTTGGAGTCCGCTGGTTTCCACCTGCGGAAATGGACCACGAACTGTTCGGAACTACTCCAGGAAGCACCGGAGGACGATCAAGCGCCGGTCGATGTGAAACTAGCAGAGCAACCAGACGCAGGCAAGGCACTCGGCATTCAGTGGTTACCCAACATTCTCGTTCATGGTTAGCTTGAACCCGAACAGCGAGAACACCAAACGGCAGCTTCTTTCTGATTTCTGCAAGCTATTCGATCCGTTCGGATGGCTGTCACCAGTACCGTCAGAGTCAAGATTTTGTTCCAGCAACTTTGGCTTACTGAGTTCTCGTGGGACGATTGGCTGCCTCCAGCAGTCGAACCAGCGTGGCTTGAAATCAAGGAAACTCTACATCAAGTGTAGCAGATACGCATCCAACTACAATGGGAAGATCGAATTGCATGGAGTCGCGGATGCGTCGGAGATGGCGTACGCTGCGGTAGTGTATGCTAGAGGAAGGAACGAAGCTGGCGACATAGTCTCCTGGTCGCCAAAACCAGGGTGGCTCCGATCAGGCAAATGTCGCTATCAAGGTTGGAGCTCAACGCAGCGGTTCTACTATCAACACTGATGGAATCAACAATTCAAGCGCTCAGTCACCTCGAAGTGGATCCTTGGGCCTACATGGACAGCAGTATTGGTTGTCCACTCATCCTCGCAAATGGAAGTCTTATGTAGCCAACCGTACATCTGCAATTCTAGAAGTGCTGCCGCGTGACCACTGGAATCATGTGCGAAGCGAGTACAATCCTGCCGACTATGCTTCACGAGGTCTCACACCTAGTGAACTTGTGACATCGAGAATGGTCTACTAGAACGACGATCCAACTACACCCTTATCGTGCGCACGCTGGCATATGTGAACCGATTATTGTTGGCACTCAAGGCGGAGGACGCGAACCTCGAACCCGGACTTTCGCCGAACGAAATCTACGATGCCAAGGCGCACTTAGCTCGAGCTGCACAGTACGCTTCATACAAGCAAGAACTGGAGCTGTTGCAGAAGGGTAAGGATTTTCCAGCCAAACACAAACTGTCTGTCCTTCACCCCTTCCTGGATAGCCAAGGAACGATTACAGAATTCATCCTACTCATACGACGTCAAGCACCCAATTATACTCCCGGGGTAAGGTAACAAGGTAACCGAACTGCTGTTGCAAGATCTTCATCTGCGAAACCTCCATGCAGGTCCCACACTGCTCCCAGCTACAGTCAACCAACAATACTGGGTGCTCGGACTTCAGACGGCTGTCCGCTTAACAGTTCAAGGATGCACGCGTTGCGTTCGACTCAAGGGTAAGACGGCGTCGCAGCTCATGGGCAGCCTACCGGTGCCACGGGTGATGGGCACTCGAGCATTCACCCACTTCGGCGTGGACTACGCCGGCCCTCTGAAGGTTCATGCATCATGCGTTCGAGGTGTAAAGATGACCAAGGGCTACATCATAGTATTCGTATGTATGGCGACCAAGGTGGTGCACTTGGAGGTCGCCAGTGACCTCTCGACCAACATGTTCATTTGGGCACTGAAGCGATTTATTTCACGAAGGTCTCATCCGAACGAGATTTGGTCGGATTGTGGAACAAACTTCGTTGGGACCGACCGTTGGCTGAAGGAGATTCAAACTGCGCGACAGACCCACAACGAAGCTGCTTGTCGATTTCTCACCAACTTGGGAATTAAGTGGGTGTTCAATCAAGAGCGCCAAGAAGCACCTGATGGCGGTTTTGGGCTCCGAAGTAGCAACGTTTGAAGAACACTCAACGATATTGGCGCAGGTGCCTGTTTCATCGAAGCCTGACAGCTACGAAGCACTGACCCCAGGACATTTCCTGGTCGGTCAGCCGATCAACCTCTTCCCAGAGCCTGATGTCCGTCACATCCCGATGAATCGTCTAGATAAGTGGCAACTTCTACACAAGCACACAACTGAAATCTGGCGTCGTTGGTGAGTCTGCAACCGCGGAGCAAGAGACGAACAACCGAGACTAACCTGGAGAAGGATCAGCTTGTGCTGATCAAGAACGATAACGCGCCGCCGGCTCAGTTGCGGCACGGGCGAGCAGAGTACTCACGTCCCATCCAGAAGATCTGCGTTCTACCAATGGATTGAGGCAGCAGTGCCTCAAGGCGGGGGTGGATGTTTCCCTGTCAATACCACCCAGCCTTGTCGACCACACCTGCGTCGACGAACCCCTTGCGCAACTGTCAAACTGCATGCCTCCTTCGATCGAAATCTTTCGGCAAAAGATTAATGTGCTTTCCGTCGTCATCATTTTGAAGTACTGTACCAAGCACCGAAGAGAAAAGACGCAATAAAATCCAAGGTTCAAACATCCTGGTTGTTAAAAAAAACAGAACAAAAGATGTTCTATACAGTCCAAAATAATCGAATTCATAAAATAAAAATATAAAGATATATATAAAATAAAAATATAAAGAAAGATAGAAGGATTAGTTATTTCCATTTAATTCCACTACCGTAATTACTTGTCCTTAACAGATACCTTGACAGATACACATAATTCGTCTACAATATACAGTCCCACGATTATCTGTTTAGGCTGTGAACCATTTGCCGAGTTAAATTTAACTCGTGGTTAAAAGTGACATTTCGAAAGTTATTTTCTATGTTCGAAAATCCCCATGCTGTCGATCGCCCGATTTTCGACCCACGGTTGTCAAAAGTTAACTTCTTGTCTGTCAGAAATAACCATGCTCGGATAGCAGGGTTCATCGATAGCTTTCCGTCTGTCAAATTTTAACCAAAAGTTAAAAAAAAATCACCAAATGGTTCAGAGCCTTAGTAAACAAAAACAGTCACTACTAGGAGACAAACCAGCCCAGGGCTGAAAGTCTCCATAATAAAGATAAAAAAGTCCCCACTAGCTCATCGACCTCCTTACATCACAACAATCCACTACCACCCCCGATCGTTCAAGCCCGGCGCCTCGAAGTTATTTAAATGAAAGGACGTTCCGAGAACTCATATATGGGTCATTCCAGCTCAAGTGGGTACAGCTGCGGTTGATGTCACCGATTTGAGCCAAACTTGGCCAAAACCCTTATTTTGGTATTCTGAACAAACGCCTTTTTTGATTTTGCTCTGAAGTGCCTAGAGCCCTCTCGGCTACAACTCTGGATTTCCGAGATTTATAAAAAGTTCATCTTTCAGAAGACATTACTTCACAACCAAATAAGTTATTCGTGATCTTAGAACGTCAATTTGAAGGTTTTAAAATACTGTACCCACTTGGGCTGGAATGACCTATATGTTTTCAAGCCCTGATCGAGCATACGTCATATTTTAGCGCTCTGTTATATGTCCTCGGGGGAGGCACAACATGTAACTAGGACGAAACGGGACTTCCACTTGGGGCAATAATTGATCCGGTGCTCCTCCATGTTGCATAGGAAACATTAGTTTTTAATCCCGTTGTAGAATACACTAATCTCTCGATTTAGGGATGCCAATTCTTTTTCACATCCACATATAAACCTCTGCAAATAAGCGCTGTATACGAATCCGGCTTGGACATCGCAGCAGAGGCGGACCCAGGAGCTCCTGGTCCCAGGATTCAAAGATCGCCGTTGGCCGTGATATTTCACACCGTTCTCGTTTCATTCCGAATGCTACTGGTTTTCAGTCAAATTCAGTTTATTCCTTCTGTATTCCTTTTTTTTCTGCGAGTAATCCGCGAGATACTACCATCAAAGAGCTAAAAAACTCACTACAACATATATCTTGCGTGTGTTTGCTAGTGTCTGTGTTTTGTATTCTCCACTCAGTTTCAGGATTCCAGGCTTGCCAATTTACTAGGTTAGCTGATTATTATTCAATATGATATAGGTAGGTACACTCGATACGCTAAACAACACCATTCTCTTGCAGCTGAGTTCAGGCAGTAGTAGAGTCGATTTCATGCGTCTTTACTCGGTACGTTTAGGTTTGCATGACACTACACTGTTGCTTTTTTTTTTTGTCTGAGATGAATCCAGATTTCCTCTTCCGTTTTGCTCTGTTTGCAATTTATTTTCTTACATGAACTAGGATGGCTAATATTTTACAGCGTCTACGAATTCATTATGCGGTAGTTTTCGATTCGATTAAATCCAAAAAACGAAACAAAAGTCAATATGTTTTGGGGCGATCTTAAATGTAAAAGAATAGATATAATATTTTATGAGCAAAACATACTAAATGGAAAAATATGGTTACATCTTATGCCTTCGATTGCTGTTTGGGTAATAATGGAGTAGGTATGGTGTGAGTGCGGTGTGTGATCGATTAAATACAAATATTGGGGAGGTGTTTTAGGCTTGCTAAATCCGACAGTGCTTCTTAGATTCCAAATCCAACTGTCCCACTAGTATATCTATTTCTTCACAACGCAAATATCCACCCGAAGACAAAATTAATACATATGTACGATAGAGCTGTAACAATCCTGTCTCCTGCATCTAACCTTACGACAATTAAGGTTTAACATATCGGAATTCCTTTTGTTTTGTATCTCTTTGCTTCACTTTACTGCTATCATCCGCAATAGTAAAATATTAAAAAAAAAATAAACGACCTTAAAAAAAATCCGATCACAATCAGGCTACCTTTAATATAATTTTCGATGGAAGAAGCTTTGTTCTGGTCAAAGTTTCCCCGTGTATTTCTTACACGAGCTGCGAATAGAGTTGATTTTCGATAAAATGACACAAAAAAGAATACAAACAAATTGCTTAGGTAATAGGATACAGTAATTGTAAGGCCGAATCAACCGAAAATATATATATATAAATGGAAGTTGCATTCATTACCTTGCCTTAGACCTAACCGGATGAATTACAATTCGCTTTTCTTGTATCACTTCTTTGAATTGTTTATTATCAAATTCATCTTTCCTTCCTTAAAAAAAATCAGCGATGAATAATGGACTTACCTTCAGTTACCATTATCTATGAGCTATTTACACGGGATATTGACCACCCGAGGTGCTGCCGCCGCCGCCGCCGCCGCCGCCAGCAGAACGGTTCTGCCGCCGTCCCGGATCGCCACCGGTAGTGCGACTCAGTTGGTTGATCGGATTAAAGTTAACATTTGGTAGAGCTGCTACACCGAGACGACCACCGCTACCCGCCGAACCGCTGGCCACTCCACTGGTGGAGGGAAGATTAGGGGCGGATCGGATCTGACGTCGCTTAGCTTCGTCGCGGAAGCTAGCACCAACCATCTCGTCGTCTGTCGTGTCATCCCCGTGGAACGATCCACTGAGATTGCCGTTCAGGATGTTATTGCTAGCGGTGTTGAACGCATTCCGGCTACCGGTGGCGATCGGGCGCGTTTCACCCGTAGCCGGCTCGACATCGTCGTCGTCCGATAGGATCTCCTCCTGGCGTGGTTGGTTGCGAACGTAGAAGCGCATTTTGCTGTAGAGGTTGGGGGTAATTGCTACATTATTGTAAACTTGACTGTATGTATTGTATTAGGCTTCTTACCTCACAAATCGCGACCAAGCTGACGTGGACGACTGATCCTCGCCGATTGGACTGTACGGAGACTCGCCACCTTCTTCTATGACAGCCGCACCTGCTACCCCCGGCTGCCCTGGCTGTGACTGCACCACCCGTTCGAAGGGATTGAACCGTCGCTGTGGTGCTCCTGCCATCTGTCGGAAGATGTGCAGTGCTCGCGCTTGGGCTTCCGCATCGAGCATTTCTTCATCATCGGTAGTCATGTTAACTACATGAGCTTCATTCGGTCCTCCCGGGGTAACTGCGGCTCCCTCCTGCGATTGATAGTTGGTCGGCGGCGAAGACGTCGAGCTGGCCCCGTTCGGTTGGGTTTCAACCGAATTCAGTAGCGGAGTGTGTTCATCGGCATCCGACGATGACATGCTGTCGGTGGACGAACGCCGACGCGGTGGCCTACGTTCTCCACGGGCAAAAACCTTACGCTTGCAGATCGGACACACCCGGCGGTTCTTCGTCAGCCATGGGTCGATACATTTCACGTGGTAGGCTAGAAGAACACAAATTATTAATTTCGCAAACAATGTACAACCCAATCTAATAACGCATACCGTGGTGACAGGGCAGCACCCGCAGCCGTTCGTTGTCCACGTAGTCATCTAGACAGATGGCGCACGTATCGTACTGCATACCCTTGGCGAATTTCACAATCGGAATCTTCCTGAGGACGCTGTTGGGCAAACGGTGGCGCAGCATACGGCGGCGTTCCCGTATGCAGCGTATGACCATGAAGCAGACCTGCCAAACCCGCACGGGAGAAAAGGGAAGCGTTGACAATCGGGACCGAACTCGTTACCATTTTACCAAAACCAGTATTCATGCATTGCAAGTAGACTCACCATTATGATGAAGCATAATCCGACGACGATGGCAAACGGGATTATCAAGTTGTTGTTGATGTTGAACGGTATGTCGTCGGTGATGATCAACTCATACGTTAGCGGGTACAGGAAACTCTCGATAATGTACATACCGTTGCTTTCACCGATGAACACAGACGGAATTATGATGTCCTCGGCGTGGTTCGCTGACATGCGCTCTGGGGGAAAGAACGGGATTAGAATTTAGTGTATTTGATAAACGCATGGTAGGAATTCATTCACTGCGAAGCGAAGAAAGAACCCTGACTACAGGACGTTTGACTGCTGTTGCAGTAAGGAATATCCGCCTGCCCTGAGATCAGCAAAAGCATACCGTTTTCCATCGAAATGGATTTCCCATACAAACATAGTCTACCCCCTGGGTTTTTTTTTTTTAAATTTAGTGATTAAGTACCTATTCTTGTATTAACTGTAAACATTCGCAGCCTTTCCCAGCAAGCTCTAGTTCGAATCGAAGAAGAAGTCCGTCAGCCTGTTCTTGTTCTAATCACTTCAAATGGGTGTTTTCTGTTCATCCTTAAATCGTCGTTCCCCCTGGGATTTTCCCAAGAAACTCATGTACATTGTACTCACTGTGGATGCATCGTTTTGATAGTATTCTCTTAGAAGATCTATGAACTGTTTTCTGCAATTCCTCCTAGACTGCCGTTAGTCGCATAACAGTCCCACGTAGATAGGAAACCCACAGAACAAGGGACTATTATGTGAATAGTGGCAGTAGAGCTCATGTCGACTGACACTGAGGACAGGGAACTCATTTGGTCGAAACGTTGATTATATCGAACTCGACCATTTCTAGATGACCAAATCAAAAGTTCCTATCTGCATTGATTGATTCTCTTTATCGGCTTTCTCTTTTATCACGGCTATGCTTACAGGGTCTCTCGCATTTCCCTTTGCTTCCCGGTATGACCTCTTACTTGAAACTCTCTTGAAACTTCCTTCGCACCTTGTCATGTGGAAACTCGCTGCCGAATCGAAGTACCCTTCTTCTTCCTTGCCGCTGCTCACTGCCAACATTGCACACAGGGCCTTATCTTTCTTCTTCATAGTTTGCTTCTGAGCACGCTATTTCAAAACTACCCAAATTTGGGTATTATACACCCAGATCCGTTTGCTGGTAAACGGCTGGACAATGCGTACCATTGATACTTCGCGTATCTGCAGGTATAAAATAGACCCCACTAGCGGTCCTTAGCCTCTTGTCCAGTAACTCCTATCCCTACCTCCCCACGGTGCCGGCTGGGGTACGAGTAACCATAGGGAAGATCGGGTAACCAACCCCGGTGGGACCTTGATCGTATGCTGACAGGGAAGTGGGGGGACTCCTCTCTCCGAAGAGTGCAGTCTTCGAACGTCTGTTCACCATGGAGGTGCGACTGATCAACGTCCTGGTCCCAGCGTGGGACTCTAAACAGTGCTGTGCACGATGGGCCCCCGGCGAGACAATGGGGGTTGGTGCAGGCCCTACAAGCCAGCCGTAAAAAAAAAACAAAAGTACAGGAAGCAAGCAATGTAAATACGCACCGGAACAATCGGCATAGACCCAAGCAACGAAAAAAAGGACTAACGATTGGAAACTCGGAACATGGAACTGCAAGTCTCTCGATTTCTTGGGAAGTATCCGCATTCTTTCCGATTTATTGAGGGTCCGCAAGTTCGACATCGTAGCGCTGCAGGAGGTTTGCTGGAAGGGATCGTCGGTATATACGTATAGGGATGGTTATACCATCTACCAGAGCTGCGACAATACACATGAGCTGGGTACAGGATGAGGATCAAAGGCCGTTTCTTCAATGTCAGCATAATCAACGTGCACAGCCCTCACTTAGCAAGTGACGATGACGATAAAGACGCTTTTTAGGCGCAGCTGGAACGGGAATACGACAGCTGCCCAAGCTTTGACGTCAAAATCGTCATCGGTGATCTTAACGCTCAGGTCGGCCAGGAGGAGGAGTTCAGACCGGTTATAGGAAAGTTCACCGCTCACCAGCTAACGAACGCCAACGGCCTTAGACTCATCGATTTCGCAGCATCTAAGAACATGGCCATACGTAGTACCTACTTTCAGCATAGCCTCCCATATCGGTACACCTGGAAATCACCGCAGCATACTGAATCGCACTTCTCGGACATTATCGACGTCAGGACCTATCGCGGCGCAAATATCGATTCGAACTACTACCTTCTAATGGTCAAGGTGCGGCAAAAACTTTCCGTTGCTAACAACATTCGGTACCGACGGTTTTCCCGGGAAGCTGACCAGACTGCTCAGGGCTACGATGGATGGTGTATCGGGTGCGTTATCGGACTCATTTGAATCTCGCAAAGAACTTCGACAAGGCGATGGTCTTACCTGTCTCCTGTTCAACATTGCGCTAGAAGGTGTTATGAAACGTGCGGGCTTTAACATGCGGGCACGATCTTCAATAACTCCAGCCAGTTCATCTGCTTCGCTGACGACGTGGACATTGTCGGAAGAACGTTTCAGGCCCTGGTGGAGCAGTACACCAGGCTGAAACGTGAAGCAGAGAAGGTTGGATTAAAGCTCGGATTAAAGGTGAATACATCGAAGACAAAGTAGCTGTTAGCTGTAGGAACCGGGCGGGATAGGGCTCGCATAGGCAGAAGCGTGACAATCGACGGGGATGAGTTCGAGGTGGTGGATGAATTTGTGTACCTCGGATCATTGGTGGCGTCGGATAACAACTGCAGCAGAGACATTCATCGTCGTATTATTGCCGGAAGTCGTGCTTACTACGGACTCCACAAGACCCTGAGGTCGGGTAAACTTCACCTCCGTACTAAATGAACCATGTACAAGACGCTTATAAGACCGGTAGTTCTCTACGGGCACGAGACGTGGACGATGCTCGAAGAGGACCTGCAAGCACTGGGTGTTTTCGAACGACGAGTGCTTAGGACCATCTTTGGCGGGGTATGTGAGAACGGTGTATGGGTAAAAAAAAAAAAAAAGAAGACGTGATTCAACATGTTTGCAAGCATCAGAAGAAATGTCGCAATCTGCGTTATTTGATTTTCTCCCGGACCAGAAATTAGTGGCATCGCGAGTGATAATTTTTAATTTCAGTTTATTTACGCGCTGCAAGGTGCCGTGAAAGAGTTCGGCACAATCGGTGTTGATGTTGACTCGCTACTTGAAACTTTTTTTTGTGTGTTCGAAAGAAATTGATCGAAAGTGTACCAAAAGTGCTTCTGAACGTGTTTCGCAGTTGGGAGTGGTGAAGTTCGTAAATTCGCGGTTTATGTTCAGTGAAAATTCCGTATCACAAAATTGCTCAACGAGTTCCTTTTTTTTTGCCGTTTGACGACGACGGGCATGCGAGAGAAAAATAAGCATCGGGAATGTACTCCCGGCTGTATTGATTTGGTGAGTTCGTTCCAGTTGAAGATTGTTCTTATACATATCTCGATTGCATTTTCGAGGGGACGTCCGGAGAGCCTTGAGATTTAGGCGTTGTTTAGTTAAATACATGTACCTCTTCCAATCCTTGTTCCTTGCCTCCTGTGCTTCCTCAGAAAGCTGACCGATTAGAACAAGGAAATGTTCAATCACGGCTGATCCATGTATCAATACTTTATGAATACTAGCTGGCAAGTAATACCAGGTTCGATAGGCTGGTGTTGATTAACAAAGCCAAAGCTTGTAGATCTGTGTATTCGGGTAAAGGGTTGCTCAAGGACTTCTTCAAAGAATGAACCAACTTATTTTCATCTACAGGACTTGCGTGAGAAACGGTTTTCAGGATATCCGTCACCTTTTTCTCACCTGATTCATTCATCTTCATTTGTGTCGCAAATGCTAGCTCATTAAGATGGTAGCTATTCCGAACCTCTGCAGTTTTCTTCCTCTACGTTGTTTCACAACATTCTTCGAAAGGAACAACCTTCCGTCCTGCCACACTTTTTGCATTTTCAGAAAAAAGACGGAAGCAAGTTTAAAACGTTTTCAGGAAGCGTAAACGGCTTACTGAAATACTCGGCGTGACACTTGACAACCATGCAAGAGCATGTTTGGTCCAGAGCTTTTCAAAAAAAGTCACACATCGTTTTCACGGGTTTTCCGACATGTGTAGCCACATCCGGCATAATATTCACATTTATGTCATAACACTGGAGTACCTTCTTATAAACGCAGTTGAATTTTGATGATCGGCCTCCACTCGTTTTTGACCAGAGTGATAAGAGATCATGCTTATCAATTTCAACTTAAATTGAATCAAGAAAAAAAAAGATCATTGGCACTTGTTGTGATCTAACGATGAATTGAAAAATTTAAAAGAAATTAAGAAAATCTCTCCTTCGCTTGGCTTCCGCAGTTCTTCTATCTTACATGCTTTCATATACTTTCACAATGCTCGATAAACATTTCAAATGGTCCTATCTGCTTTGATCGATTCTCTTCATCGACTTTCTCTTTTGATAACCACTGCTATGCAAACAGATTTCGCGCTAATTATTCAACATAGTTTGATAAAGGAGATTCTTATCTAGCATCCAAAACGTGAAATACAATAGCGAAAGGTTTTGAAGCTGAGTTAATAACGGAAGAGAAAGTCGATGAAGAGAATCGATCAATGCAGGTAAGAGCTTTTGAAATGTTAATCTAGAATTACTTCACGCTTGATGAAAAACAGTGATGAGCACTATGGAAAAACACTTATTGACTCACAAGTTTAACTGAATTTAACTTTTTCATTCTTGATGCTGCCTTCTGCGCAATTTTTGGAAAGAAAATGTGCCGTTCTTGAATTTGATAAGCTTTGAGAAGTGAGAAATTTGTTTATTGAGTCGGTTACTATGGAAACGAATTTATTACGCGGTATAAAACACACTATCCCCTTGTTGTGACATGACTTCTGTAAAGCCTATCAACGGGTGTTTGTTTTGATCATAACTCTCCAGCAGACGGACAAATTTACCACCATTTGAAAGCTCTTTTAATGTAGTTTTAGATGCATTTGATTTCATCTGCACCTTTTTGCACCTAAGAAAGATACGCAAGTTCAAAATATGAGGAAAATAGAAGAAAATTTATCAATAACTCATCCTATTAAAATGATGCAGGTATAGTCTGTTCTAGAACGATGTGTATTTTAGTATACCAATCAACTTTGTTGAACATAATGAGGACCTA